TTAACTTCTGAACGATACTTTTATCAATTATCATGAATTGATTTCGTAAAGAAACCAACCTGTTTTCCTCACTGACTATGTATCCATAGGCTACGCACATACTGCATTGTTAATCAAGCATTATCTTGGCACACCTAACAGAAAATAATTCAAATCGTGTAATAAAATTAGAACATTTTGATTTTTACTTTTTTTAACAGACATTATCCTTATAAATCCAGTTATACAGGGCCTTGTCTTCTATATTTAAACATGTCCACTTCCATTATTTACAATACAACCACATAACCACACAGCACGTTTTATTGACCTTTATTTATTGACTAGTAGCAAATGGGTCTCTAGAGGAAACATGTTGCCAAAATAATCATACAGATGTTTTTAATTATGGCAACACAAAGGACCTTTCTCCGCTTATCTGCCCCATGTGAACCACAGAACGGATCTGACGAAGAAATTTTTGATTGTAAAAGAGTATTTTGTGTACCCGTGTATCGACAGTTAAAGAAAATATTGAGACGCCTATCTACGTCAAAAGAGATAACCAACAAGCTTAACTCTTGGTTTGCAATAGGAAAGTGGAATATCAGTATCTTTGAGATAGACATTCCCAGTCAGATCACAGTGGCTGTGGTCCAAAGTAACGGGATGTCACTATATTCAGATCATTTGTCATTAGAAACCATGCTTGTACTCTTGTATATTATAATTTTTTTGATCATTTCTCTGGATGAAATTGTTTTCATCAGTTACCTCCCTTGAACTTTTGAATGACGAGTGTGGCGCCAAACAGCGTATTCTTACTCTTTTAGACACCTAGTACCACTTTTTATTATGCAATACTGACTCAATTTTGATTGATATGATTCCTCATGTGAAAAGTCCATTAGTTGTTGCCAATGTTTCGTCAATGTTGTCTCATGTCCTTTTAGCAACGGTACGCTGATAATGATCATTTAGCTAATCATCGTAAAGGAACATGATGTTGTTTATGGTTTCGTTTTTGCAGATCGGATCGTTAGTGCTTGCTTTATTTGTTGTACCCCAGCTCCATCTAAGCCCCAACTATCTGGGAGATGCGGCGTAAAAGAATCATTTTGAGGGCTAAACTTTTCGCTACAAAGATAGAGTTGTCTTTTGACTTGTTTGCTAGTTAAAGTTGGTCTATATGGCATTTACCTACATCTTAACACTTACCTTTGACATATCGTGTTCGTTCACCAGACATAGCATCTGTTTCAATTTAACTAAACTTAAAATGGGGTTTTATGAATGACCTCAAAGTATTACTTTATGGACACATAATGTTAACAGAAGAAACCCAATTAGGCCAGTGGAAAAATCATACATAAGATTTGGACTTGGAATATTTCACATTTAGCGTCCTTTGAAGAACAGAATTTAATATCTACCAGTATAATATTTCACAGCTCATATTGATTCCTTGAATCGTAGTTTGAATTCAGAAAAAAACACGAAATGATCGGGGACCGTCATCAATGTCAACAAATTGTTTGAGACAAGATGAATAGACACGGAAATCATATATACTATAAAAGATATTGAATCATAAAAAGGGATTTTGACGTCATATCTTATACCCTCATCCCAAAACCATGTTGAATAGAAGGTTTTCAGGTGGGCTTTCATCCCAGTGTAAACTATGGTACTCTTTATTTGTTCTTTATATATTAAAACTTCCAATACAATGGACATTTTCTTAAAGAACTATGACTAATATACACAAAAATGTTTTCAATTTTTCATTTATAAAAACCTTAACAATTTTAAAAATTATACTTTCAATTCATATTGTAATGGTGTAGATATTGTAGACTACGAAATAATGGAATGTTCAAGATAATAGTTATTTCAATTTAAAATAATGAAAACTCGATATCCAAGACATTCATTTGAACATGTTATTTTCTTCAGTGTACTGAATTTATATATTCAGTGTAAGCTTTAACAGAAAACGATTTCTTGTTTGATTAAAGAAAAACATTATTGTAATAACGCCAAGCAAATATCTTTAAAATAACCCTATTGTATTAATTTTCCCTGTGGTTTACCTTTATATTTATTCATCTGACCATTATTTTGTCACTTTACTCGTGTATTTAAAGTTAAACCGACTACATTGCCCACTCAACATTCTCCAGGTCTGTACTATACCTTGTCGATCAAGTTACTATAAATAGAAATGTTTCAGGTAACCAATATAAAGTGAATGTACAGGTGAGGAAAGGGTGTTCCTTTAACTTAAAATAAATTGTGTGACAAATGTCTGTACCAATTGTGTGTACATCAATTGAGGTTTATATTAGCCGAGAGACAAGTATTGGACAGTTACATGTAATATTTTGCCAGTTTAATGTAATAAGTGTATTTTGTGGAAGGAATATAGCGGATAATAATTATAACAGGTAATTTACTGGTTACTTGTATTCAGGTAATCACTTAATACTATATATTATAACATCTTATTATTGGTGATTTTCTTATATCTAATAACATGTAAATGTCAGTTCATATAGTGAATGTCACCAAATATCCAGTTTCAAGAATTTGATACGTCAAGTTAATTTTGAAACATTTCTAAGCGATGTGTAAATTTTTAATGTCATAAATGTCACACTATCTATCTATACACTATGGCTTTTGCTTGCGGTGTTCTTTTCATCAAGATATGACATTGGTGTACCTGCCATGCATATTTGAAATGCCTGAAAGTGGAATGAAAACACTACAATATGCGGCCACTTGTTAAGTGACTGTCTTTAATCGTGAATCAATAACTGGTTTCACCGATCTCAAATCAAATCAATTCAGTCATTCTAGAATGTCTGACTCGTACTTCTGTGTAGGTTTTAACTGTGGACAAGGTGCGGATAGCAAGTATAACAAGTCTTTACTGTTCTTTCTTAAAGGCGAAAAAAACCTTTTCATTACGTTAGTTTCCTTGATAAAAATCTAATTTGTTAAAATATGTGCCCAATTTACTCGAGGGTGTAATACAATTTATGATGTAAAAGATATAAATTTTCATTTCAGTTTTTTAATTCAATACTGTCAACAATCAAATATGATCACACTGTAATACAGGTTCAGATTTATATCATTTGCTTTGCCATGTTTATCCCAAATTCCATCTTGACTGAGTCATTCAAACAGATGACTCAGGATAGATATTGGACTCATTTCTTGTCTGTTTCACTGAATTGAAATTCATTTGAATATGTATTTGTCGGTTTTCAATTAGTGGGTGTCAAGGCGGTATAAGGCAGTACCGGTACAGAAATCTCAGAGATTTAAGATTGTGCCTGTGACACAATGCTTACAGTAAACGTCGTCATGTCATGTCAACGAGTTGAACAAGAATTATTATTAATCAGTATATTGCTATTATATTTCTACCATTCAAACTAACTTGTGATTGTAAGTGTAAGATCTATAAGTTAGTTAAAGAACTAAGAAAGGTTGTAGAGTGATAGTCTCAATCAATCAGTCAGTCAGAAATTGACCTAGAAATACTTTGTATGACCCTGATTTTATAGCCTTTATTATTATTCCTAAATCATACTAGGATAGTCTAGGTACATACTGGGAAAGGGATAAGTCAAATTAGAATATAACTTGAGATTATGGAGATTTTACACATAAAATAACAGAGGTAATTTGTTAGACGGAGACCATGTTCATTAATTGGGTTTCGGTCACATGCAATATAATTTTTAAAAAGCTCTTAAGCACAGATTTGATTTAAGATCAGCCCTCTGAGGAACCAAACGACGACTTTCCTGTTGTATGCATACTTCATATAGCCCTTGACTTTCAAATTCCGAACGAATGGCTTGGTACTCACAAATGAAAAATTATTTCTTTGCCTAAAAGAGCATTGCTTATAAGAAAGCTTTTATTTGCTGGTAGCTATGATATGGTGTGAGTAAAGTTATAAAGTATACGTACTCATAGATAATATTTTAACTGCACCTTTCAAGTTTTATGTTTACATAGACCCATCCTTTCATAGATCTCAACCTCTTTTTATACCACTTGATGTCTCTATTCTCCTTGATGTGTTACATGTAACTAAGTTTGGGCCATAAATATGAAAAATGCTTATTCTTCCCAGACAGTATGTTTTCCCCAAAAATGTTTCGGAACAGCATCACAGTAAAGTGCACAGTACAAAGTACAAAATTGTCAAGAAACCTATAGATCGCAGTAGCAATGCTATAATACTTACACCCTGCTCTCAGCCTTATTTATATTCTGATAACAATTCGATCTATTTGACAGGAAATATTATGAAAGATTTAGTTGGTGCTTGCTCTTATACGACATTTCTGCAAACCTCGAATAGCAGAGTGCGAACGATCAACATAAATTGCGTGACCAATAATAACACACAGTATTTATAAAACTAACTGCTGGGAGGTATATTTGACTATACAATAAAAATGTCATTGTGATAAATCATAATAAAATATTTATAATAAAGTCATGTTTGAACAAGATTTCTGTTATACTTCAGTGAATTGAACTCAATTTGATACGAAAGTGTATTATTTCAAAAATATGGGAAATAATACATTTTAGCTATAGTTATCCATAGGCACACAGCAGTATGAGTATAACTTAGAGTTGTTCAAAGTTCTGTCTCTGTTAAATGATTAGATATTGAATGTTTCTACTTATAAATTTGGTCAGACGAATTAATTTTGTTCGAAATTGACATTGAGACGATATATCTCATTTTGATACATTGGTATACTACATTTAACCAAACATCACTGTAACGAACGACTATGCACGATCATCAGAAATGCAACAAAAAAATGTAAGACCATGGTAAACATTTAAAAACACGATGACATTCTTAACACACTTCAAACAGAACTCATTAGAAACTCAATGAACCTTTACGATATTTTATACACAATCTATTTAAAATATTTTCTTTTGTACATTTCAGGTTTGTCTAGTTCCAGATTGAAATAGGTTTAATCAATATATTGACTAGCTTACCTACAGTCACAACAACATCGATATACAGGCGGGGTACTAGCAATATTAGAATGTGCAGTTTACATGGAGACTTGACAAACACGAACAAACAATAGAACTCTTATTAAATATTGTGTTCTTATATCGACTTTCCGTAATTATACAAAATATTGACATTGTTTCATTGCTAGGCCATCTAATCAAATTGACACTTTCAACATGGCAGATGTCGTTTCGATATCATCTGCTTCCGGTTCAGCAACCGGTGATGACATACTGGTCGTTGATGACTTCAACATGCCTACTGATCCTGAAATGCAAGCTGTTATGGAAAGATTTGATACTTCAGTAACATTGGATCCTGATGTGGATATTTCTATAGCTGATGAAGATAGTATAGCATCTAGCAGTATAGACAGAGATAATGAGTCTATTGGTGCTGCCTCTTCTAATAGTGGTACAGTGTCTGATACTAGTGCTACTCCAGTCAATGGAAACTCAGAACAAGAACAATTCTTTTTTGGAACGGATGCCATTAATCCTTCTCTTGGAAGTGACGCCAAACCTGTGATTGACGGAACGAAATCTAAAATACGAAAAGGCTCGAAGGATTCTAGTCAAGGCAAGGAAGTGAAAAAGAAACGTTCGCCTCTTGAAATGTTGAAAAAATTAACAAAATTCGACAAACCAAAACAAAAGCATTTTCCCTCCGAATTTGCCCAAATACGAATAGACAGACTACCTCAAGTTTTCGTGGTGAAATATTTAGGTAAAAAAGAAATAAGTGGACTGTATGGATTACATCATGTGCGAAAACCAGTCGATGAATTCATGATCAAATTAAAGAAAGGAGTAGAGGCAAGAGAGAAGGTTGAACTACCTCTGGTGTATCTAGTTGTGTCACCAAAAGGAATTGATATTAGAGAGCATAAATTAAATAAAGTAGAAGGTGTAGCCCCCTATGGCGCTGTTGCCATTGATTTTATTTCTTATGGTGTTCAGGATATCAAATATTGGAGAATATTTGTATACATCGTGGTAAAAGAACTCTCATCACGTTCTAAAAGAACAGAACTACACGCAGTTCTCTGTGATTCTTCACTAAATGCACGGAGACTGGCTTTATCACTAGGTGGCGCCTTCAGGCTATACACCAAGAATTTATCCACTTCCGGCAAAAGCCACAATTTTCAGGTCGAATTAAGACCTCCAGATGAGTTGGCAGAATCGTTGACGAAGGAATGTGATGCTTAAATGATGCTTATCCTTAAAAATTTTACCTTCCAATATCGTTTATATTCAAAAATATTATTATGAATATTGTATTCTATAATACTCAATATAATATTTTATACGGCAGCAAGAAAATCTCTAAAAGAAAAGTTTCAGAGTGTTGTTGAAAGGGAATACTGTATAGTTTACTGTGTGAAAATATAAAAAGGACTATAGACTTATGGAATATATATTGGAATTAGTATCATCTATACGTAGGATATGTATAGCGACCTTATTACATAATATTTTATACGTTTTATAAATGATATTCATTTCTTACCTATAATACATCAAATGAACAATATCATCTTAGTTGTCTCATTATGTTGAATGGAGGGGGTAGAGATCACGTCTTTCCCTTTATGACATCCTTAGTACCAATATATATTTATATTAAATTTGGTATGATCATTTATAAAGTTTCAAGATTGAATTTGACAATTGTTTGATCATCGGAATTTGAGTTATTGCCCTTGACTTAGTAAAAACGCATCAAAATTTGTTGGTGACAGTTTTTGTCAGAATTTTATTAAATAATGTGTCTTTGTTTATTTCAACAATATCTTGCACAAATTAGATTTTTTTGTATGATTTGACACAGATAGGTGACTGCCCTTGATATACTGAAAATGTATCAGGAAAGTTGGCGTATCTTGCTAGGCAACCACTTGTCTTTCTTAAAATACAAAGAAAACGCCGCATTGAACTTCTAAATTAATAATGAATTGCACAATATTTCATAGAACTGTATTAAAAGATGCAAAAAATCTAGTTAACAAACACAATCAATATCTTGAGTCTTTACATCGATATCTTGTTTTATATAAAATTATTGTTTCAATTGCACAATTGTTAACATCTTCAGATATTATCTCGATAGAACAATATAATAACATCTTTAGATAGAAATTTTTACAAATTATTCTCTCAATAGAACAATATCATTCACAACATCCTTAATTAGATACTGTTAACAAGATTTTCTCTCAATAGAACAATATCAACTGTTACTAATAGAGCCCACTTGTCACTCTCGCAGACCCTTCTTGACAATCTCTGCTTGGAGGTACCCGAAATATACACCAATACACCATCTTGAATTAACAACCATTTATTAACATTAACAAAACTCTTAAGGTGTATTATCTTTAAAAGTTGATGTCTCATTTTCAATGGCGATTAACTTAAATATACAAAATGTACAAAAATAAACTTTAAAAACATTAATTGTTGTTATTAATTTAAAAGTTACCTCCCCGTCAGCGTTTGGAAGTTATTTAATTGTGGTCTGATTTAGAATAAATGAATTATCTCCCATATGCAATATGTGGAAATTAATTGTCTCCCTTTAAAACACCGGGAAAATTAATTGTAGTCGTAGCCACTAGCGTAAAATATATAACAAACATTCACTTGAAATGCAGTCAATCTACAATACGATATTTAAAAGCTAATGTCAAAGTAATGCCGAATTTGTGTGCTTCCAAGCTAGAAATCGATCTAAATAGTCATCAAATTTGCAATTATTGTCTTCTCTCTCAATTCCTTTCCACCATGTTGGATTATTTCTTCACCCGCGTGGTCGTAAACAAACGTCTGATTGGTTAAAATTTACTAGTCCGAAACGCAGTCTAAATCATAATCCGAAACACATAACTTTCGAACATTTGGTATCTACATCAACATTATCTTTAGATAGACACAGATATCAAGATATTCCCTCACTAGAACGATATCATGCATGGCACTAATATCAAGTTTTTCTCTCAATAGAACAACAATATCAACAACATCTTAGATGATGAACGCTGATATGAAATTTTTCTCAATAGGACAATATCATTAACATCATCTCATGCTAGACATTGATAACAAGATATTATCTCGATAGAACAATATCATGGACATCTTTAGATAGACACTATCATCAAGTTATTCTCTTAATAGAACAACCTCTTTGAATAGTTGTCAAGAGATTCTCTCAATAGAACAAATTCATAAACATCATCTTTAGAAAGGCACTGATATCAAGTTATTTAACATCTTTATATGGAAACTGTTGAGGTTTTTTCTCAATAGCACAACAACATTAACATCTTCAGATACAGACACGACTAGATATGGGCCGAATGCATAAAACATAAAGATCTCAACACTTACCTCATACCTCATTAATTCGTATGTCGTAAGATGTTCCCTTAGACGTATGATCATGGTCACAATAGTCGAAGTAATCGTGAAATTTGAATTTCAATCAGCTATTTAGGACCTTGCAAATCTGACAGTTGCCACGAATTTGGCCCAATATCTAGCATGTTAGCCGAAGAGGCAATGCATATTAGAAATTTGGGAACGTTTTATCTAACATCTGGCCTTTCGGAAACTATATAGTCAGAATAACAAACCCAAACAAAGTATACGAGGTCATTAAAATAACTTTTTCAAAGTATTTAAAGAACTTTCACGAATCTTAAAACCTCATTAAACACCTTTAAAGGTGATACAAGAAAACGGTATGTTTGATACTTGACCAAATAGTTCAAGTTCTTATCCCGAAGATCTAACTTCAGAAATACTTTTATTGTTTGTTTATGTTTTTTTATCCCAGATGATAAAAGAGTTGGATGTCTTTAAACTGTAGAAATTGATCTAGTGCAGACGTGGTTAGGCTATATAAAAGATGGGGCTCGATAAAAGAACACATTGATATGTAAATATAGAAATTCTAAGGTGAATAGAAGATAAGAATGTGTCTATTGTTACCACCGACAATCAAGATTCAGTATTTATTGGGTCAATAGAATAACTGTCCACATTTATAATAACGGGTCACTTAAAATGTCACGCTGTGTAGATAGAAAAAAACGTGCCTTCGTAGGCCATTACCATAAATATAGTAGATAAAGATTACAAGGAGCTGAACGCCTCATTAAACCTTTCATCCCCTGCTAAAGCTAACACAAATGGTTTTGAAACATAAACTACCATTATGTTGACCACTTTAAACGTGGATTGCCTATAAAAATTTGGTAAACCTCACTACAGCACTAGGTTGTGCAGAAATCCAACCTCTTTCAGCCCACGAATCTCCTTCCTACGAAATTTTGGTTCTTTGAGATCTCTTTTCATGTTACAACACCACTATAGGCTATGTCACACTCTTGTCTTTTGATAAACACTAGAATAAGGGAATGATGTAGTCCTACATTATATCGATTGCAATTACAACGGGAATGCAACACTAGATAGATACCTTTGGTTTTGATAGACTAAAAAATGTAACTGTGTTAGATTGGGAATAACCCAACCCTAGATCCGGAGTCTCATGCGCCACTTTTCAAATACTTTTAAGCAGAAACAATAAACGAGATATCTACTTTATAACATTACAAAGAGTTTATTTCCGGAAATTGCTATGTCACATTAGAACCTATTGTGATAAAAAAAAGTTGCATATATCGCGATACACAAACAAATTTCATATCACTTCATTCCATTTAATCTAAGGACAGGAAAACGTTTTACGGTACTCTGTAATCCATCCAATGGGTTCTAACACAGCTTAGTCGATTGAAGGTGATCCTTACAAACTACGACTAGAATATATTTGTTAAACGCGGCTACAATGTTTCTGGAGCAAAGATGATCATTCATATGAATATGAATCTGTTGACAGTAAAAAAAAAAACATGATTAGGTAAAACTATTTTTTGGGTTTTTTTTTCACAATTAAAGTTAAAGGGAAGTAACTATTGAACACGACAGACGCCTGTGAAGTGACCAAGTCAAAATTGATTTGACTATCGAAGAGATCGGATTTTACAGAAATGATGTGGTTTCATGTAGTGTTATGTCATTTAGAGTATGTAGGTTACATAAAATGTTTCTGGTTTGGAAGCAAAGAGCTAAGAATAAGTAACAAAAAAACACTTTTTAAAGGTCGATACATCAAAAATGATTTAAGAAAACTGCAATATTTTAAAGGACAATTTTCTATTGAGCATAGGCCTATATTTGATCATTTCAAACTCAAGACATGGTAGTTTTTACTGCCATTGTCAACAAAATCATAGGCTTTGTTATTGATTGTAAACGTTGACTACAATTTTATGCATTTATTCAAGCAAAATAAACAACAGAATTGAGATTGTATCTCTACACTTCATTATATAAAATAATTTCTAGTCTATATTTAAAACTTCTAAATATACAATATAGCGTCTCAAAGTTAATAATATACATTACTGTCCAAAAGCTTTCAGTGTGCATGATTAAGATCAAAAAGGTAAAAGTGTTATGTTATCCAGTGACACAAAGTAGGGTTATAGGTCATTTCCTAATCTATCAATCTCATAAATAACAAAATCCATATCAGCTGAAGTTGTGTCTAGATTAGATACTATCATTCTGAAGAAATTGACTCTCTCGCCATCTGGTTGGTAGCCGATTAACATTGTACCTTGTTCTGTCATTCTTTGTTTTATAGCTGGTGCTACCTACAAAATTGTTTATCACATTCCTTGAAATAAGTGAAAATATAATATATTTGTTCAGGTTAACTTATTCCTTTATTATTCAATCAATCATTAAATATAAAGGTACAATTTGACCCTTTACGTGTCTATTATCAGGTTTTCCAGGTCAAGATTAGGTCGAAGGTCGGGTATGAAAACCAAATGTTAGGTCAAACTTTTCATGTCATATAGATAGACTTTTGTGATAATTCGTCAGAATCATATCCTTCTTAAATAGATTGTAAAAATCCCCTTGTAAAGAGGTTTTCTATTTATTTTTATCGGGGACACTGATATCAACAATTTGCACCATTTAAATTTTCAACTATAGGCGTCTGTGGTTATTGCAATTTTGCTAAGACTAAGGTTCATATGCAGCGCCCGTACTTTACCTAAACTTTGGCTAAAGTTAGACTTAAGTCGAACTTTAGATATGCACCGGTCGATCTTTACGAAAGTCGTGCTTAAAATTTGACTATCAAATGTAGAAAATGAAAGCCTTAATCCTAACTTTGTAAAGTTCGACTTTAGCCAAAGTTCAACTTTAGTCAAGGTATAAGAGCGCTGCATACGGCCCTAAGTGTTAGATGGTCACTAACCGCGAGGGGCCTTATTAAAAAATTAGAAAACCTCTCTGAAATCTTTAAAATCTGAAATAATATTAAGAAGGACGGTATTCTGATTTCCGAACACTGATGACAACATACATAATATTTGGAATTCTGAAGTTCACTGAAAAACTATTCTCTCGAACCCATTGACCTCCCCAATCAAGAGTATTTGTTTGAACATGTATTGAGATACAAATATTACCTTCGACAATCGTTGCCACCAATCTGTATCTTCAGTCTGTCCTCTCATACTTGGTGGTATATACCAAAACCCAACATTGGTACATTCGGGCTGTAAAGAACGTTGGATTGTGAGATTCGAGACAGTGGGTTAAAATTAATTTGTAATTTAATACTGAGGGGAATCACTTAGTAATTGACAAGGACGTAGATCAAGTATTACCTGTGAATGTTTGATAGAAAGTGGATGTTATCAATGAACATCAAATATTAAATTTATTTTGTGACTGATGCCGTCTAGGATGATATTCTCTCAAGCTGGTAACACAGATTATACTAAAATTGTATCCAGTAACTGGTTTTTAAGAGAACTAATGGTACTCACTTTATCCAGAACAAGTCTGAATCCTTCTTTCTGTCGAAGTTGACTCGTTAGATATCTAAAATGGATAGAAAGAAATAGTTAGCCTTACGACCTATATGGGTTGCTGAATAGCTACAAGATTTTTACAACTTGTTAGAGTTGAATTTTCCAATATTTTGGACTCGGACACACAACTTTTTCACGGTATTTCCTCGTACTTTTTCGCAGGTCATGAATGTTTGTCAACATTTTCCAATAGGCTTCTCAAGTGTGTCTTTGAAGGATACCCTCAGACTGGTAATCAGAGTTTATTATTACATCTTTCAGATTCAATCAACTCACTCTGCACAATAGAAAATATTATTAATATCTCTCTCGAACTTTTTATCGCCCTTTGCCTTCCACATCATCCAAACTTTGAGGACATCTACTTTTCGACCACATTGTACTGATTTATCTCCAGTATCATAGCTCACATCATAGAATTTATCTTGTTGGAACAGATATTTAGCATGAGCCGAATGACATTCAGCTAACAATGTCTGAAGAGAGAAAACATATTGAAATGCTTTTAGCATCTAAGTAATAATTGTAATACATGTATATGATATTTGGCATTATAATATTGAATTCGTTATTTAAAGTTAAGGTAGACATTGTTTGACAATATTTTAAAAAGAATATAAACCGTTACAGTATAGGTTTATGTGGATTTTTGTAAATAATGTCTAAAAGAGTGGATCGGTGAAGAAAGTCATGTATTGTTTTGATGGTTTACGATGAACCACTGTAGTTGATTATAACTAAAAAGAAAGATCATATATAAAATATTTAAACAAAATATATTAAGAAATTATTTCGTCATCAGCAAGCATTATCAAGGTCAGTAAAACTCTTTGGTATATCTTTCAGTCAAATACATTGGTAAACAAATATTGCACCAAAATGATTCTATGCATGGGGAGAGGAGAAAATCGAACTGCTTCATAAAGGATTGAATATCGAAGAAATCGTAATAACCTTGATTACACAAGATGGCTAAGTAATTACTATTACTTTATTACACAAGTACTTAAAGGGATTGTAAATAGATTTTCTAAAAATTGTATGTTTATAGGGACACCAATAGCACCTTTCAATCAGCCGTCTGTGGCTCTTGCAATTCCATCTGAACTATGCATTTTATTACGTTACTATCACATAGGTCTATGAATGAATATCAGATTTTGCGACAGTGACGTCATAAAACGCTTATTTTTAGTGGAATTACAAACCTTTTACTGAAAATTGAAATGGTGCAAATTGATGATATCAATATTCCCATTTATACACATACAATCAGGCCCGTACCTACAGGGGGTTCAAGTTATGGCAAGGAAAATAAATCTGACCGCCGACCAATTCCATTACTACAAATTACATCATACATTATTGCCCCTCCGGATATATGACTTGCCCCCACGGACCTGCATACAATATAAACAAAAACCTCTTTACAATCCTTTTAAAGAAAGTAAAAAGACAACAAGAAGAATGTTACAAGATTAATATAGTTAAAAGATATTGTTCAATACTCTTAGACGTTACCATGCTAATACCTTATGTCTGGTGAGGAAGGCCGAAGCTTGCAGGGGCGCCCCCATCATTTTATGTGGATTCCAAGTGACCGAGTCGACTCTGAAACACATTTAAATCATCTACATATAATATAATACAATACTGAACTAATATTTCTAAATGTGAATATGACCTGTTGTAGTACAATGTTTATTCATTTATATATTTCCTTAAATTTCAAAAGTCTTTGTTTTGTTATTTCTCAACATTTAATTATAAAAAGTTAGCACCGAAATTAAAAGTTACGAACAACAAGTCACATTCCCATAATCTGAACAAGCAAACAAACAATTAGTGAAACGTAATAAAATGTCATACCTTTCTATTCCATCCATAAGATGTTTATATTTCTTAGATAACAGAACACCACCTCCCCATGCAGCATCAACATGCATCCAGATACCATGATTTTGACAAATATCAGCAATGGCATTTAGAGGATCGTATGATCCCAGAACTGTCGTACCAGATGTAGCATTCACCATGATAGGAACACGCCCCTGTCAAAGATAGGTGAAATATAATGGTTTAATTTAGATATATTTAATGATAATGTTGAAGAACAGTGATTTGCAATTTATTGTACAGGTACCGGCTAAATCTACTAGCGGACATCACGGGATCCTGAAATTATTTGTCATAAGTCAACTTTCATGGTATTTTGATCTTGTCTCTGTATACAAAGCTTTCTTCGAGATTCCTGGTTCTCCAATGTACTTACAGTGGACGAACATTAGGAAATAGTATAACAATGATCATTACCTGAGCCTTAACATCCAGTATCGTAGTTTCTAGACTATGGGGACTCATTCTGCCACATTCATCTGTTTCAACAGGTATCACATTGTTTATTCCTAATCCTAAGAATGCTGCCCCCTTTTTCATGGAATAATGACCCTGAATAGAAAGCCATGATTAAAATAACTGCTAATTAGATAGCATATGTATGAGATCAGAACAGGCCTATGAACATTATATTGGATAATAAAATATCAGAACACCGGCTTATGTTCCTGATTTTTTCCATGATTTATGGAGACTTAGCCCATTCAAGGCACATAGAGATAATACGTACGGACGTTTTATTTAAATTTTGAGTTTACATTTAATATCTCTCAATCAAATGAACTATCAGTATTATATCCATATGAATTTATTGTTAGACAATTACTAATAGTGATAACAAACCTTGTTAGATGTTAATATACAGAGGTTGGGTAAACCCTGCATACCATTTGTTTTAACATCAGGAAAGGACTTATATCTGGCTAGGTTGATACCATACATGTTGGAAACTGAACCACCTGAACAAAACATTGTTAAAAATCAAAAACCCGATCAAATCACAACAAATTTTCTTTCAATAGTTTGTTAAATAAAGAGTACATACCTGGACAAAATATTGCATCTCCATCTGTAAATCCAATCAACGACAACATTTTAGATAACACTGTCTTCTCCATCAGTGTGAATACTGGTGCTACCTCATAAGTATACCTGATTAAAAAATAAATCATAATACTCTCGTGAATTTTAACATTGACAAATATATAAAAAGTGGCATCGTGTATCGTTTAAAATCCGAAAAGGAATGATACTTACTGACTTGAATTTAAAGCATCTGTTAACCACGCACCAGCGACACCAAATGTATCCATTCCACCATATAACTGGTTGAAAAAATGAGGATGACCTAAAAGAAAGTCTTTTTTCTTATTTCTGATACAACCTGTTGGTTGTTACATAGATTATAATCATAGTTAGTAATTGGTGGTTGGGCCTCAAACAATATTAATAACTCAACCCAGAATCAAATAAAAGAAGGATAAAGTTGAATTGGTTGTAAAAGAGTTGAAAATGATGCCGAAGCGATCTTTACCTGTGTTAATTGAAGATCAAGATGTCGGGAACATGAGATGGCAGTTAGGTATTGGCATGTGGATAATAAGAATGGGTTGGTTGGTACTGTAAGAAAATACCAATTTTCTTACTGTTTGTTTAATAGTGTGAAACAAAGTTCACACATATTGTTCCTCACAGACCCTTCCAGTAACACTATTTGTCCAGGTGACAGGTCTACGACCGCTAACCTGAAGCTCACCTGAAAACATGTATCGTAACAATACCTTCCGAGGTAATCCTAATGGCTTTAACAATACCTACATAAGATAATCCTAATGGATATAATAATACTTTTTGGTAATATGTTTAACTATAGTTTTAGGGGTCTGTGGGAAAAGCAAACATGATCAATATAACTTATCATATTCTTTTATTCTCTTATTATTTTATATTGTATTTTTTGTATGGGTTTGGCTATATCAGACGGCGACGAGAACATCTTAGTTAGTATGTTTCGAGGATACCGAGCTGCTCAGACTAGTCAGTATGTTTCGAGGATACCGAGCTGCTCAGACTAGTCAGTATGTTTCGAGGATACCGAGCTGCTCAGTCGTCTGTCTGGTATTGCTGACCGCTATATTTCTAATTGTAATAAACAGTGCTTAAACATCGCAAGTACTTTATCTTCATTTACCTTCATAGACACAACGTGAGGAAGTCCAACACTTGCCGAATTGGTGCCTTAAGACCAGGATTCTGAACGGGAAAACAAAGACAGAAAGGACACACCACTGTAAGTAACCTTTATTTCTATTACCGTCAAAATGGGAGAAGAATTTTTTCAAACTCTGTCAAACAAGTTGAGTACATTGACAGAAACAATCTCGGCACAGGGAGTAACCAACATAATCACTCCGTTTGACGGAGAGCCAACCAAATTTCGAGATTGGGTTAAGTCTATTGAGAAATATGCCGTTCTCGCCAAAATCGATACAGCACAAATGAAGTTGATAGCATTTCAGACTTCAAAAGGAATTGTGTCTAACTTCATTCAGCGATACATTGAATCAAATCCGGATTCGGATTACCTCCAATTGAAACAAGAGTTATCAATTCGATTTAGCGAGGTCATTGACCCTCTACATGCTTTGGCGCTTTTACGAAAAGTGAAACAAAATTCGAATGAAAATGTACAATGCTTTGGCGAACGATTGCTTCTTTTGGCCACAGAGGCATATACGGGACCATCAACGGTCGAGGTGGAACGACAATTGATAGGGTTCTTTGTCGACGGTTTGAAGGAAAATTACCTTAAACTAAGAATCATGAGAGAAAACCCGACCACCCTACAAGAAGCGGTTACATCCGCCATGACCGAACAAAATTTGCGAAAACGATTTCATCTTAGAACAGGAAATAATGCCTCAACGCATGCTTCATCGTCTTCTAGCCCAGAACCAATGGAAGTCGACCACTTCCGACAAAAACGATGTTATAATTGTAAAAAATTAGGCCACGTAAGCAAAAATTGTCGGGCACGCCAAGTAAACGCAGTTGATAATAATTATAATAAACAGAAAGTTAAATGTTGGAACTGCGGAGCTTTCGGCCATATAAGCCGAAATTGCAAAAAACCCAATAATGCAAACAATCGACAGGGAAACTAGGGAACTCTTCTTGTAATTCAGCCGACAAGAAGAGTAATAAAAACGGAAATCATTCAGAATCAAATAATCAATCTTTTCAAATAAATTTGGCAGGCAATCCAAGCTCATGTGTCATCAAATTAGAAAAACAAACTTTTAGATCCTTGGTTGACACAGGCGCGGAAGTTTCATTAATGCACAGTAGAGTGTATAAAAATTTGAAATTTAAACCTAAATTAAAGAAAGAGAAAATAACTTTATTTTCAGTCAACAATAAACAAATTGATATGGAAGGCAGCGCAATTTTTGATTTTAGATTGGGGGGTAAAAAAGTATCACATAAATTTTATGTAGTTTCATCAATGAATAGGAATATAATTCTTGGTAGAGATTTTCTTGTAGAAAAAAAAATAAGGCTGTATTTTGACTTAAAAAGTTTAAGATATGAGGGTACCTATATTCCCCTCGAGGAGGATATTCATATTAGTTCACTGCTGAGGTTATCGGCCGAACTAATAGTGAAGCCTCAAACTTACAATATAGGTATGGCGAGACTAAAAGGCGATAACCAGACGACAGGTACGCTCCTTGTAAAGAGCTACGATAAAGGGTTTATTGGAGGACAACCAGGGTTAATGGTTGTAAATTCTATTGTACCTGTTAACAATGACAATGAGGTCAATGCACGAGTACCTATTGCCATTGTTAACGAATCAAACAAGACCATAAGACTGAAAAGAGAGTGTATTGTAGGAATAGCCCAGACAATAGAAAATGGACAGATTTGTTCAATAGAGTCAACAAAGACCAGAGAACATAATCCAAACAATGACGATTTGTTTAAGGACTTAGACTGTGACCACAGACACAAAGACAGACTATCAAAATTCTTGACCTTACATAGAGATATTTTCCCCTCGAGTGATACCGAACTAGGTCAGACAGACACGGTTGAAATGACAATTGACGTAGGTTCGAATGACCCTATTAAACTTAGGCCCTATAGAACTCCTTTGAATAAAAGAGATACGGTAGGAAAAGCAATAGATGATATGTTGGATGCTGGAATTATCCGACGATCTTGCTCACCGTACAGTTTTCCCGTCGTAATAGTAGATAAAAAAGATGGATCGAAACGGTTCTGTGTAGATTATAGGGCTTTGAACAAAATCATAAAAGTCAATTCTTACCCACTTCCTTTAATTGACGATGTATTAGCCTTACTTAACTCTGCAAAAATGTTCAGCACACTTGATTTACGAGCTGGATTCTGGCAAATTAAGGTTAATGAAGCAGATAAAGAAAAAACAGCCTTTGTGTGCCACAAAGGACTCTATGAATTTAATGTCATGCCATTCGGAATATCTAACAGTCCTGGAATTTTTCAACAGCTTATGTCCATAGTACTTGATGGACTAGACAAATTTGCAGTCGCCTATCTTGACGACATTCTGATCTTTTCCAAATCACCAGAAGAACATTTAAAACATTTAGAAATAGTTTTCAATAGATTAAGAGAGCATAATCTCCGACTAAAGCTCAAAAAGTGCACATTCATGAAGGAAGAAACTAAATATCTTGGCTTCAAAATCACTACGGAAGGTCTAATGGCAGACCCAGATAAGGTACTGGCTATACGTGGAATGTCGGCCCCGACATCAGTCAAAGAAGTGAGGTCATTCATAGGAGCAATGTCATATTATCGACGTATTATACCAAACATGTCCAAAATTGCAGAACCATTAATAGATTTGACTAAAAAGTACGCTAAGTTCAATTGGACTGACAAATGTCAAAAGGCCTTTGACTATCTAAAAGACAGTTTGACAACAGTGCCTATGTTAGGATATCCCAACGCAGACCTGCCATATGTACTCTACACTGACGCAAGTGACACTTGTATCGGCGCATGCCTAACACAAGTTGTAGACGGCATTGTAAGCCACCGATTAGGAAAGACCCAATGTAAGTGGGCAGTATGTGAGAAAGAAGCTTACGCAATTTCATATAGTCTCCAAAAATTAGACTATTATCTCCACAATGCACAGTTCGTGATTAGGACTGATCATAAACCACTTAAGTATCTTCTCGAATCACCAATGCAGAACAAAAAGTTACAACTCTGGGCACTTAATATATCTGGTTATAACTGCAAAATTGAGTACATACCTGGTGAGACTAATACAGTAGCGGATATGTTATCACGCATACCAAGTGACTCGACAGACATAAGACAAGAGGACAATTCAGACGATGAACCGGAGATAAGTAACAATACTTTCGAAATTAATGTTATAAACAGTAACAAATTTAATCCAGGTGACTATGATGATTGTGATGACAATGTCTCTACAAAGCCGACAAACACGGTCGAAATTAACGACGGTTTAACAAATATTGACATGGTAGTAGAGCAGACAAAAGACGAAGACATTGAACTGGTCAAACAAAGGCTAACTCAAAATCAAAATCAGTCAAGTACTAACAACAAGTATATTATAATGGAAGACCTATTGTATTTCATATCGGACCCCGACGGTGAACCGCAAACAAGATTATATATACCCAAACAATTAAAGAAAGAAGTAATTAAACAATACCATGATTTGAACTCTCACCCAGGTATTGACAAAACTTATGCTACAATAAAAGTGAAAAATTTTTGGCCTAAGATGTATAAAGAGCTCTATGAGTATGTTGACACATGTGTTACCTGTCAGACGAGGTCAACTATGAAAAACAAACCAGATACAATTGAAACCGGAATTCCTCCATATCCCATGGCAAAATTAAGTTTAGATCTATCAGGACCATATCCCACTACATTATCAGGCAACAAATACATAATTAGCTTTGTATGTTGGTATTCAGGATGGGTAGAATCATTCCCAGTTAAAGACAAAACAGCAGAAAATGTTGCTCACCTAATAATAGAGGAAATATTTCCAAGATTTGGCTGCCCTTTGGCAATCGTCACAGACAACGGTACAGAAAACGAAAATAGAATTGTAAAAGAAACCTTAGACAAGCTTAACATTAAGCATATATTAACTTCCTATTATTCACCAAAATCAAATGCTAGAGTAGAAAGAAACCACCGTACTCTTCATGACATGTTAGCAAAACGAGTAAGCTCAAACCATTCAACTTGGGATATCTTTCTTAACCAATGTTTAGGTGCGATTAGATTTAATGTAAGCAAAACGACTAAACAATCACCATTCTCTTTGCTTTATTCTCGTGACCCCGTATTACCATTAGATAATATCCTAAAACCCAGAACTAAATACTATGGTGAAGACCACCACTTGTTAGCACTTGAAAACCAGCATAAATCATTTATCCAGGTTCACCGATATGTTAAGAAAATTAAAAGTAAACAGTCTGAGTATTTAAATAAAAACACTAAGAACGTCAAGTATAAAATAGGTGATCCGGTATTCTATAAGAACAATCGGCGGTCAAACAAACTAGATAATAGGTGGACACCCTACTATAGAATAGTTGAACAAAAGGGACCCGTCTCTTTTATAATAAGAAACCAGTTGACCGGACAGACCACAAAGACACATGCCGACAAATTACGCTTGGCAAACATTGACCAATGGGACATTCCTACTAACGACTCAAAGGTACGAAAAAGTAAATATGTAGTACCGCCCTCTGACACAAGTGATTCAGACCAGTCGGAACATGTAGACTTTTCTGACTCTGATTCACCTGATGACGATAAACCACTAGCACGACTAGTTGACAAATATAGGCGCGAAAGAGACAATTCGAGCTCTGAAGAGGATGACATACCTCTCTTCGAACTTACGCAAAGATTGCAACAAAAAGCAAGGGAAAATGAAATGAATGAAACAGATGATGAAGAAAGCTCATCATGCGACATGTCAGATGCCGATATAAATTAGCATGCAAAAGAGATAGTTTAGGATGATGGGAAGGGCCCTCCTTGATTTCTTGAAGAAACTATCCTGGTATGCACTGACATAATCATTAGATCAATGATGCAGGGATAATGCATTAGATCTTGTCAATGATGAAAATGTTTACTATACGTGGTTTGCGAAGACGTAGACAATTATTTATCCCTTGAAACAACAGATCCTTCTTGCACGGATAATGCAACAGATCTTTTGTGAAATATTTATACCTGCTGTCCGCGAATAACAGATAATGTAGGCTATTTTATAACTTAATGTCTATTACTTGTAAGGCGAGACCTGTAATGGACGTTGTTTGTGTCCTTTTTCATAAGGATTAATATGGACTTAATCATCTGACCCGATATTTTTCAGGTCGAAGATGAAGACAGTTCTTACAATGCTCGTTGTATGCATTGTGATCCTCCCAACGACTGACAGTATTCTGACATATAAAAACACCTTGTTCAGACCTGTAAATAGAATTGCTACCAGTCGATCAAGATGGTTGTTGACCTTAGTTCATGACATAAGACCTTATTTGGATTTCTTAAGACAACTTGTCAAACGACATTGGACGTGCTTTATGGACAGTAGACAGTATAATAGCCAGCTATTATACCCAAGACAATTCCTCTGCAGAATATGGACTCACAAAATCATTATAATTTTGAATATTCCGTTACTCGACAATGATGACCATTATATAATTTACAAAGTACATTCCCTCCCAGTTCCAATGATGACTAATCATGTTTTATCAAAATCAAAGGGCACATCCCGATTTGTGGCACAATATAAATTAGAAACAACTACGCTTGCTGTTAGTGTTGATAGTACGAAATATGCTTTAATAACAGATAATGAGTCCAAACAATGTACAAATCCTCACATGAACTTCTGTCAAATTAAGAGTCCAATCTTTCCAATCAACTTGAGCAAACTATGTGTTATGGCATTATTTTCTAAAAATGAGATAAAGGCTTCAAGTAGGTGCGATGTTTCGGTAAAACCTAATGAAATTTTACCCACTAGTGTGTATTTCACTAATGGTTATTGGGCTGTTGTTGTGCGTGAACGAACTCGATTTTCAATTGTTTGTCGGGATACTCACCTCGAACATTCCTCTATTGTTGTCAAACCACCTGTTCAAATTATTCACCTAAAGCCGACATGTAAGGCGGTTAACGACCATGTAACCTTACCCTCTCATAACACGAATAAGAGTACTTATTTTGATAACACTTCCTTCAAACATTTATTGACAAATTTTAATGAATCAATTACCGATATTTGGAAACCAATTACCGATCACTTTGGCAATTATACACTTACTAAATTACCACCCAAATTAAAAGGGACTGAAACTATCCCCATCGAAAAATTAGTATCGGAATTAGATGACTTACACCCAATCGAAAACCTTAAAAAACAAACATGGCCATTGTGGGTGTGGGTTACTCTGTGTGTCGTTAGTGCTGTTGGTATACTCATCCTTTATATAGTTGTCAAACTATATATGAAACCTCTTATGTTAAAATTCAAATCCCCATGGAGACGCTCTGATAGAAAAGGTGAAAACTCTGGTAAAGTCCCTACTGATCAAAGTACGGAGGCAATACCAATGGTAACGATGAACCAACCAAGCGCCCCAGATGATGAACGCTTATATCCTGATATACCTAGAGCCACTACATTGCATTCTCTCCTCAACCTTGCTCAACAACAGAGAGCCATCCAGAAAGCAGAGACAAACATTTAACTTCATCGTATCCAAAGACCTACAACTCACCCAATACTTTATTCTCAAACGTCACTAATCCAGTATTTGAGTCATCTTTCAGCACAATCTTCCAGCAGCTATGTTAACTGCAACGTACCATTTGTTTCAAGACAGCTAAATCCTATTGACATGGTAGATATATCCAGAGAACAGACACAGTATGGTATCCACGACATAATACATATCCAATCACAAATATGTTAATCACAGAATATGGTAGATACCCGATTACCACGCAGAAGCGAAAAACTAGCTACAGTAGACTTCTTGTATCCAGCCAACGAATCCAACATGTTGAACAGGAACGATGTACACTAGCTACCAACAACGAACTGAAACCAATGATATGGTAGACCGTACGTGACAGACAACAGATAATCATAATGTGAATCAGTGACCAAAGCCACTCGAGTGCTAATTCAAATGGGAGTTGAACTGTGAAAGAAGTTGACAGGGTCAACTGTTGTATATAGGACAATTAGCTTATTAACTCTAGACGAACTTTATTGTGTATTTCATTATTCTTACCCTTGTTTCACACTTGAAACAGGGGCGTTGTGTAAGAAAATACCAATTTTCTTACTGTTTGTTTAATAGTGTGAAACAAAGTTCACACATATTGTTCCTCACAGACCCTTCCAGTAACACTATTTGTCCAGGTGACAGGTCTACGACCGCTGACCTGAAGCTCACCTGAAAACATGTATCGTAACAATACCTTCCGAGGTAATCCTAATGGCTTTAACAATACCTACATAAGATAATCCTAATGGATATAATAATACTTTTTGGTAATATGTTTAACTATAGTTTTAGGGGTCTGTGGGAAAAGCAAACATGATCAATATAACTTATCATATTCTTTTATTCTCTTATTATTTTATATTGTATTTTTTGTATGGGTTTGGCTATATCAGACGGCGACGAGAATATCTTAGTTAGTATGTTTCGAGGATACCGAGCTGCTCAGACTAGTCAGTATGTTTCGAGGATACCGAGCTGCTCAGTCGTCTGTCTGGTATTGCTGACCGCTATATTTCTAATTGTAATAAACAGTGCTTAAACATCGCAAGTACTTTACCTTCATTTACCTTCAAAGACACAACGTGAGGAAGTCCAACAGTACACAAGGGTAAAGTGATTTGTACGTGATGTGGTAGAAAAATATAGGCATAGCGATAAGGTATTAAGGAGAAGGCAACAATGGATACAGTACAGTGGCGAAGCCAAATGGAGGGGGGGGGGGGGGGGGGGGGGGGCCCCA